TTGAGACATGTCAACATGAGTGTATTAAGAAACACCTAGTGGATCCATGGAGCACAGTTCTGGGTGTTTCTATGGATGACTGACATGTAGGCAACAAACTGAGGGGGAAAGACCCAAGATATGGGTGGTACCAACCAATAGGCCTGGAGCCTGGAGAGAATAAAAAGGGAAAGAAAGAATTCTTCTCTTTGCTTCTTTGAAGGAGCTCCAGTCTTCATCATTGCCTTTGGGTGCTCATCTCCAGCTCCTCCAGGTTTCCAGCACTCTTGAGCCTTCTAGTGCAGGCTCTGGCTTTTGGACACAGTCATACTAGGCTCTGCAGTGAGGCTTTCAACCTTTGACAGGATCCCCCGTCTCTCTGGCATGCAGATGGTCATTTTGTATTCTTTCACCTTTCACGCCTGGTTCCATATTTCATTATAAGATGACTTAGTAAATATATATTTACTATTTACATTTAAATCTGTTCCTCTTACTGATACAGATTTTACTACTAGAAGTAGTTCTAGAGAAATAGAATTGTAAGGATGAATTTCTCTTATTGGTTTAGTGGTTCCGGGAGTTAGCCCTCTAATTTGCTAAGATCTAAAGTTGCCATAGTCTGTCCTTCTGATGATGTAGAGGATACTGATAGTCTGTGGTATGAACTTTTTAAAGTCATACACAAGCTAGGCATGGTGGCATATGCCTGTAATCCCAGCACACAGGAGGCTGAGGCAGGAGGATCACCATGAGTTTGAGGCCAGCTTACCCTCAGTGCTGGACACAGAGCTAAAGGACTTAATGTTTGCCCTGATGAGTTTTGATTTTGCTTTGGTCTCATCTCTTTCTACCCTCAACTTCCTTCCTTTTGGAATGAGAAAGTTTACCCTATTGTATGTTTACCCATTGTATATCAGCAGTATTTAATGTTTAGCCACTATATGTCAGTAGTATTTAACTTTCTTTTTCTCTTTCCTTTTTTTTATATTTTTAATTTTTAAGACAGGATCTCACAATTTAGTTCAGGCTGGCCGTGAACTCACTATGTAGTCCAGGCTGGCCTCAAATTTATGGTGATCCTCCTGCCTTCTTCTGAAGTCTGGGTGGAAGCCTCCCTGACTCCACAACTCACATTCTACATGCCCATACAGCCAGCACCCCGTGGATGATCCCAAGGTCTGCCACCAGCTTAAGTGCTGCTGGGATTACAGGCAGGAGCCACCACCCTTGGCTCTTTATTTTTATTTTTACAGGGGTTCACAGCTAAGAGTTTGCCTTAAGTCTCAGAGGAGCCTTTGGACTTGGACTTTTCAGCAGTGCTGAACCTGTTAGTGCTATGACTCTTAGAGATTAATTAAATGCAATTTGCATAAAGAGATGTGCATGAGTCTTTTGGGGGCCAGGGCAGAATGTTATGGTTTATATCTAGATGCCCCCTCCACAAAGCCTCATATCATCATAGGCGGGGCTTTTGAAAAGTGATGGGATTATGGGGTGTAATAGCTGGCTTGCTGATAGGGGGTGGGATCAAGTTGGAATGGGGGGGGAAATGTGGGTGTGACCTGGAAGGATGTATCTCCCTTCCTGGCTCCTTCTTTGACTCTCTCCGCTTCCTTTTTGCCTCTTGGATGCTCTGAAGTGAGCAGCTTTCCTTCTCCCAGACCCTTCCACCGTGCCATTCTGCTATGGAGCCTGCCGATTGTGGACTGAAATCACTACAAACTATGAGCCAGAATAAATCTCTCCCCCTTTAAATTGTGGGTGTTGGGGATTGTGTCCTCATGATGAGAAAATAGCAAAGACAGCATGTCATCGCTGTCCCCATGTCTGTAGAGGCCAGAGTGAGGGATGCACCATGAGAGTCATGCAGACCCAATCCCTCAACCCCTGAGGAGCCCCAGGAAGGCAGAGGAGGGAGAGGGAAGATCTGCTCCCAGGGGATCATGGTGGCAGGCTCACACCTCAGCACTGTGCTACCCAGCCACCAGATGGCCTTGCAGGGATCACCATCAGAAGCCAGAATGGAGAAGCACAGCTCGTGCCAAGCTGTCTCCAGGTCCCCTCCTCCCACTCCCTGAGGCACATGGGGGCTTTCAGGAAAGAAAACAAAGAGGCCTGAGAAACAGGATAGGCAGCTTTAAGCCACTAAAGGAAGCAACTAGGGGAAATGTGACCTTATTCCCCAAACTCTGAGAGCTGAAAAAAGTCCCGAGGCAAGTTCAGCAAGAATGGGGCAGAGGGGGGCTGGGGCTAGGAGCAGACAAGGGGTCAGAAAGAGCTTCAGCGGTGGTGAGGGGACCCATCCCCAAAGGGTAGGAGAACATCTGAGGGTCTGAAGACGACTTCTGGCTACCGAGGTGAGGCCATGTAGGGCCTTCAATGCCAGTGGCCAGAAAGAAGGACCCCGTTCAGGCGTGAGACTACAGCCTCCTTCCCTATGATGCTGTCCGTGACCCAGCAAGCAGTGTGAACACCTTAGCACGGGTCTGCAGGACCAGGCCCTCATCATTCCCTGGGGGCCTCAAAGGACATCTGGCCAAGGTACTGTGTCCTCTCATGCACTTGCCCTCCTTTCACCCAGCCACGCTGCTGTGCAGCATATTTGCTTCACTCGCCTCCTCTGCAGGAGCTTGCTCTGAACTTCCAGCACCTGGGCTTCTTCACCTGGTCCTCTCCTACCCTGATCCCCTGGCCACCAACCCTCTTCCCTCCCTTCACACCGCAGAAGTCCTTTCCAGACACCAGAATCTGGCCGAGTCGCTGCCTGTGCTGCTCTCCCACTGTATCGCGTGTCTTCAGTGTCACTGTTTGTTTCTGGGGTCTATGATGAAAATCCTCATCCAGCCTCTTCCCTGCTTTTTCCCAAGCCCTAGCCCCACATCGGCCTGTAGGGAAGGGATGGAAAAGAAAAAGATAAGAAGTTCTTAGTGTCAGCCTAGAATGCCCAATATTTGACTAATAGGAGTTCCAGAATAAAATAAAATTACCAAAGAAACAGACCAAAAATTTGTGCCAAAACTAAAGGACAGGAGACTTCAGATTGAAAGAGGTCACCAAGAATCTAAAATAATAAATTTCAAAAGACACAGAATTTCAGAAATAATTTTACAGATCAAAAGACCATAAATATTTCCAAAGAGAAATAAACAGTCTACCTGCACAAGCTCAGGAATAAAATGGCATCAATAAATAAAAATTTTATTTATTGATTGACTGATTGATTGTTTGACACAGGGTCTCACTCTGTGGTCCAAGCTATACTCAGCCGGTCCAGGCTATACTCAGCCGATCCAGGCTGCCTCAGCCTCCTAGGTGCTGGGATTACAAGTGTGTGCCACCATGCCCAACCAGATTTTTTTTCTTTTTTTCTTTTTTTTTGGGGGGGGTGCTTTTCTCCAGTACCAGGAACCGAACTCACGACCTTGCGCTTGCCAAGCAGGCGCTTTGCCGCTGAGCTAAATCCCCAGCCCTTTTTCTTTTTTTAATGAGAGGGTCTTACAGTGTGCCCAGACTGGTCTTGAACTCCTAACTCAAGTGATCCTCCTACGTCAGCATCCAAAGGAGCTGCAACTACAAGCATTCACCATCACACCAGGCTGGCATCAAAATTTTCAAAAGCTATCTTGGAACTCAGAAGAAAAGCAACAGTCTTTCAAATTTTAAAGAAAAAAATGATTGTCAACCTCTAATTTTGTCCTCACCCAAACTGTCAATTAAAGCTGAGTACAGAATTACAATTTTTCAGACACAAAAGAACTCAAATGTTCTTCCCATTTACCCTGTTCAGGATCTACTGGAATAAATGTTCCACCAAAGCTATGGTATACATCAAGAAAAAGAAAGACCTGCCAGAGTTGTGGTGTAGACGTGTAATCCCAGTACTCGGGAGCCAGAGGCAGGAGGATTGAAAGCTTGAGGCCAGCCTGGGTTACATAGTAAGTACATAGCGAGTTTAAAGCCAGCCTTAACTATATAGCAAGACTCTCCCCAGACACACACACACACACACACACACATATACATATACATATACATATACACACCTAGAACTGATGAGACGTGGCCCCAGAAAAAAATTTCAGGGGGCAGGGAGATGATGGAACAGAAAGAGAAGTCTTCAACTGAAATGAGGCACTGAAAACAATGAAAGGCTGCTAGAGAACACAGAACAAGTTAGAGATGATACAAAGGAAACTATGCCAATGGAAAAAAATGAGACAAGTATAAACTCCAGGCAAAACATAAAGTTGAAAAGGAGAAGAAACATAATTATGATACAACTAACTTGACTATGCAGTAAAAATCATTCATATAATTATAACATGAATACTGATTTTCAAAATTTATATATATATATATATATATATATATATATATATATATATATATATATAGTTTTTTGGTCTTTTTGAGACAGTGTCTCGCTATGCAGTTCAGGCTGGCCTCAAGCTCATTTTGTAGCCCAGGCTGGTCTTGAACTCACAATGATCCTCCTGCCTCAGCTTCCCAAGTGCTGGGATTACAGGTGTGTGCCACTATGCCTGGCTGAACACTGGATTATAAACCTTCAAACCATGATAACTATCATAGGAAGTGGATAGAGTAGGAGGAAGAAGTATTTGTAGGGTTTGCTATAAAAGAGCTAAATCTTCAACTACCATAAGAGGTACTACAAAAGAACTAATTGAGAAATAGCAGTACAGTTAGGTGTGTTAGTCTGAAATACAGATTTCTTTCTGAGATACAGCCAAAAGTAGTTGCTTCTAGGGAATGAGAATGGGAATTGGGACGGGTGAGCTGCATTCTATTTCCCCTTACAAGTGTTTTAGTCCTATTGGGCTTTCTGAACTATCTACACACTTTATACATACTTTGAAAAAAAACATTAATATTTTAAGTTTTGAAATAAAGTTTATGGACAAAAAGAAAAACTTGAGTGTATGAACTATCAAACTAACCCTTAAAGCTGTCATTCTTTCCCCTCTACACCTGCCTACATCCATCCCCAACAGAGTTACCTGCTCATTGGTGACCCCAGGGCGCAGGGTCCCATGCTTGTAGTCCTCCAGCAGCTGCACAGCCTCTCTGAGACGTCTCTGCAGAGGAGAGAAAAGAGACATCACGGGGCACAGATCCAGGGCTCCTGAAAGCCATTCCCCAGTGGGACTGCACATCAGTATCAATCAAAGTGACAAGTTTACAGTGTTCAAGGCTTCAGCCCTCAGTTTATGGGACACACACAAAACAATAGGAAGGTTACCACCTAGATCCCCTTCCACAGGGAAATGGCTGACAGCAATGGTATAAAATACTATGGACACTGGGTGTGGTGGTGCATGCCTATAATCCCAGCACTCAGGAGGTCGAGGCAGGAGGATCGTTGTGAGTTTGAGACCAGGCTGGGCTACAAAGTGAGCTCAAGACTGCCCTGAACTGCATAGTAAGACCCTGTCTCTCAAAAAGACAAAAAAAAATACACTATGGAACATGACTGGACAGTTTAAAAGTTAAGTAGAGGGCTTGGGTGTGGCTCAGTGGTAGAGCACTCATCTAGCCTGTGAGAGCCCTGGATTGTATCCCAGCACTACACACACACACACACACACACACACACACACACACAAAGTGATGACATTTGTTCTACCAAACAAGCAAAATGCACTCACACATATAGAACAAATTTTCTATGAGCATATTTGTATGTGTAAATATATCCAAAAGGCCTAGAGGAGACCCACCAAACTAATAACAGGGCTACTACAGTGGAGGAGGAAAGGGCCCAGACTTTCAGGAGGAACTTCAACCTTAGTTATATTATTGAAAGCTTTCATGGGAATATATTTACACAATACTTTTGTAATTTCACTTTAACATTTTAAAAACACTGACAGAGATTTACCTACTAAAGTATATAAGGCTACAATAACAGAGAGAGAGAGGCAGATGGGAAAAAAGGGTAGAATCGTGTGATTTTTTAAATCTTAAAAGCTAAAGCGACAACATTATAACATGTATTAGTGGTTTGCTTACCCACTCTCCTATTAGTTACTTGCAGGCTGGGGTTTTGTGATTAAAGCTGAAATGAACGCTCTTATACAAGCCTTTGGTGTACAGATGTTACCTTCTACCAATACCGTTGTCACTTTCGCTTTTCAGATTTAAGAAGCTCACAGAACTCCACCCTTTCTTCCTCTCTGTTATTGTAGCCTTACATACTTTAGTAGGTAAATCTCCGACAGTGCTTTTAAAATGCTAAGAAGAAATTACAAAAGTATTGTGTAAATATATCCTCATAAAAGCTTTCAATATTTTAACTAAGGTTAAATTTCCTCCTGAAAGTCTGGGCCCTTTCTTCATCCCCTGTAGTAACCCTGTTCTTAATTTGGTGGGTCTTCTCTAGGTCTTTTTGGTACATTTACACATACAAATATGCTCACAGAAAATCTGTTTTATATATGTGCGTGCATTTTGCTTGTTTGGTAGAACAAATGGTATCACTCTGTGTGTGTGTGTGTGTGTGTGTGTGTGTGTGTGTGCAGTGCTGGGATACAATCCATGGCTCTCACAGGCTAGACGAGTGCTCTACTACTGAGCCACACCCAAGCCCTTTACTTAACTTTTAAACTGTCCAGTAATGTTTCACAGGGTAGGTAAATCTCACAGACATAATACGGCAAATGTATCTTGCAGAGATGGTCACCTCCATTCCCCACCTCCTACGGTCTTCTACAACCTTCCCACAGCCCCACCCAGAGGTAAGTCTTATGTCTCCACCCCTTTATCCTGGGCTGATGGACTCTGTGACTACCTCAGCAAACAGAAAATAGCAGAACTAGGTTGATGTGACCTCTGAAGCTAGGGCATAAAAATGCCTGGTACTCTTTTACCCTCTTAGAACCCAGCTGCCATGCTGTAAGGAAGCCCAGGCAGTTTGGGAAAGATCCACATGGACGGGAGCTAGGCCCTGACAGCTCCAGCTCAGCCACATAAGGTTATGGAATGTGGAGGAGATCTCGTCTGCAGAGGAGGAAGAGAAAACGATGGAGGCCCTCACTTCAGAGGAAATTAGGGAGATGTGGAGAAATGTGGGGAACGGTACAAAATTGTATAGAAAAGCACCACCCGAATAAAGCTATTACAGTGCAAGCAATAAATCTGCTTAACAACAATACAGTGTCACATTTCCCCAAAATATTCAAAAGGGGGGAAAAGCAAGAGTCATTGGAGAGGTTTCTTGTTAAAGATACATGAAAAGAAAAAGATTCCACTGAACAATAGGTAGCAGTGATTCCGTTAGTGATAGGAAAGTTGTCCTACACAGTAACCCTCTTCTCTCCTGTCCCCCTCACATCAGCCATGAAGGTTTTCAAAGGTGAGAGTAGGTTAATAAGTTTATTTTTCTTTTTATTTTGTATTTTCTTTACTATTGTGTACTATATTACAGTACTGTAATCATTTTTATGCAAATATTTTTGGATTGTGGAATAAACCACCGAAGTTTCCACTATTTCTTATGGGGAAATTCGCTCTGACATACAAGTGCTGTGGATTACAAGCACATTTCCAGAATGAATTATGCTTGCAAACTAAGGTTTTGCTGTAAGTAACTGTTATACTTGGAGGGGGTACTGCCTGGGAAAAATACAAAAGAACTTTTTAAGGTAATGAGCATGTTCAATGTCTTGATCTGTGTAGTAGTCATATGGATATTAACAGCTGTAAAAATTCCTCAGTTATATATACTTAGGAGTCATGTATTTTGATATATGAAGGGTGATCAAAAATACAGTGAATGTTTAAATTTTAAACACTTATTACATTAAAAGACATATTGCTATTAATTCCCCCTCACTTCAAACACATTAATCTCAATGTTCTTGCCAATTTTTTTGTGTGTGTGTGGTACTAGGGATCGAACTCACAACCTCATGCTTGCCAGGCAGGTGCTTATGCCACTGAGCTATATCCCCAGCCCCAATTTTTTTTTTTTTAGATAGGTCTCTCTATGTAACTCAGGCTAGCCTTGAACTCACTATATTGCCGAGGCTGGCCTCGAACTTGTGGCAATCCTCCTGCCTCAGCCTCCTGAGCGCTGGGATTACAGGCATGTGCCACCACACCTGGCTTTGCTCTTGCCACTTTCTAAAGCATTTCTAGAAGTCCTCTTTCATGACTGTCCTTATGAGGTGTGATAAAAAATACAGTGAATGTTGCGGCCAAGCACCATCTAGAAAGACAGACCTGTAAAAACATTATAGTGTGTCCTCATTTACCAGATCAGGCACCATGAAACTTCCGGCTCTTCCTCAAAATCAAAATGACTACAAAACAAAAACATTCTGAATCGATTCAGAACATCAAGGCAGCCATCATAGTGTAACTGAAGACCCTCCTGAAAAAGGGCTTGCAGCTCCCGCTCACGGGCTCTTTCTTCTCTTTCTCTCTCTCCCTCCCCCTCTCCCTCCCTGCCCTCTGTCCTCTCTCTGTGTCAGTCTCTCTCTGTCTCAGTCTCTCTCTGTCTCTGCCTCTGTCTCTGTCTCTCTCTCTCTCTCTCTCTCTCAGACAGAAGCTTTCTTTCACTCAATAAATATATTCTGCTTTTAAAAAAAGAAAGAAAAAGGGCTTGCAGAACTGCTTCAGAAAGTGGTAAGAATGATGGGACAAGTGTGTTCAAACTGAGGGGGAGTACTTTGAGTGGGATTAATAGTAATGTATCTTTTACTGTAATAAATCTTTTAAAAATTTATAGACATTTTTACCACACCTTGTATGTATCAGATAACTCAAAAAATTAATAAGAAACAGACATGAGCAGTTGATGTTAAAGTTCTGATGGGAGACCCAAACCTCAGGGATGGTGAGCATGGGGGGAGAAGCCATCCTGCTCCCCTTTTGCCAGCGGGACAAGGCTGGCTGGGACGGGAACATGGAGACCTCAGCACAACCCACTGAAGGAAGGAAGAAGGCTGCACAGGAAGGGCTCCCCGTGGGCAGGCAAGGTGTGCCGAGCACACAGCCACCTGCAGTGCGGCAGCAGCCAGAATCACTGCCAACCACACAAACAACTGCGCCTCTCACCCATCAGGCCTATGTGGGCCGCAGCACTGGCCAGCACTGGCCCAACAAGACCTGGCACACCACAGAACCGTAGGCAGTCAAGAGGCTGAAGCAGGTCTTCTTACTTGGAATGGTCTGAAGGCTGAAAAGGACTGTCTGTTCCCTTTCCAAGTTATGGATGTTAGTTCCCTTATCTCAAAGAATCTCTTCCTGGAATCTGTTTATAAAGTAGATACAGCTTTGTGGCTGTTTTATTTTTTTTTCTTTTTCCTAATTATAGAAGCAATTTGTGCTTTTTTTTTTTTTTTTTTTTTT